TAATATTTGAAGAATCATAAAATATTTTTTGTCCTTCTTTAAATGTATATCTCTATTTTGTATTGTATGTATATACATTAATGTGTTTTATTGTCAAAACAAAATGTAATGGATTTTATATACTTGAAAAATAAGATCAACAAGGAATGACGACATTTTAATGAACGCATTCAGCAACATAGGACCTCCGTAAAGGAGCCTTACTGGACACCATACAAGAACGGCCAAATCACGTAGATGTTTCATTTCGGCATTAACTTTATCTTGGAAATATCGTAGATGATGTGCCTTATGAGTAAATTACATATTAAAATTATTTGCATAAATACCATTCAGATGAAAATCTTTGATATGAGAGATGACTTCGACTTTGGTAAAGTAAATTATCTACAGATAGATAGAGATGTATCCCATTCAAAATTGTATGAGGTATATGTGTCTCAGTTTATCAGATTCGCCCGGACTTGTAGGCATTAAACGATTTAAACGAACAGAATATTGTCCTTACTGACAAGCTTCTCAAACAGACCTACCGCTTTCATAAAGAACGGAAATATAAAAAAAATTCAAAATTCACGTATAGCAATTTGAAAACTCTTTTGCGAATCTTATTTCCAAGGAGATGTAATCTACAAGCTTCGTGAGATTTTGGGTTGCAGAAAGTTTCCTTATTTTTTCAGCGATTTTTAAAGTTATTAAACGTTTTATTACAAGTGGCAATGTCCCACATCGCATGCTAACTGTCAAACCCTAATACAGTTGGACACTATGCTTTCCTATCTGATGGACCGAACGGGAGACTATAGAATGAGCAGCTCTTTTCAAACCATTGAAACTGAATAGTCCTAATTTTAGTCTTCGTCAAGCCCTTGTAGGTTCAATTCATGTTCCTTTTTATTTAGGATACAGATTATCTATGTTATGATAAGTTTGCTTTTTATATGTATATACATGAACATAAATATGCAAGTTTATCACCAATGTATTGTCCACTATCATTTGTATGAGATTGAGAATGTGCTTAGCTGTACGAGGATTAATAAAAAAAGTTCTTGTACCGATGAACTTCCGGTAGTCTAAGAACCCAACTGATGGTCTTACTTTTCAATATAATCGCCCTCTACATCAATTCACTTTGCCCACCTGTGCTCCAACTTGTTTACCCCTTCAGTTTAGAACTCTCTATTTTTGTCCTCAAACAACTCATTGACCGGCTCCACGACACCTTCATTGCTTCCAAAACGTCGACCACGAAGCTTGATTTTTAGTTTTGGAAACAGGTAGAAGTCAGAGGGGGGCAAGTCCGGAGAGTTAAGGGGGTTAGGATGAATATAAAAGCCGCAGTCAGTTGAGGCACCTATCGACTCTTGGGATGTGTGAGCTTGCGCTTTGTTTTGCCCATCCTTTTAGGCGCAATTTTCTGACGTAGACGACGTCTTAATTCGTCTGCATAGCACGTACCGTTTTAGTTACGACCTTGCTCAAAGTAGTCGATATTGATTTATCCTCTTCCCTGCTGATGGCACCCTCTTGAATTTCTTCGGAGCCAGGGTGCTTCCACTGTATGCTCTATTTTTTAGAATCTGGATCGAAGTGATGGACCCATGTTTCATCCTGAGTTACGATAAGGTAGATAAATCCAGGTTCAACCTCGTAGCGAGACAAAGATATCTTGAAATGTCAAGCCTGACACGATTTGGTCGTCAGTCAACTGTCTGGGGACCCATTTAGCGGACACCTTTGATGTGCCATAGACATCAGTCACAATTGCCTGAACTGAACCAAAGCTTATACCCACTTCGATAGCAACGCTTCGCAGTTTCATCGTTGGTGGCCTCTTTTGTCGCCCAGGCCGCTCATCATCTCCAATGCTCTCCCTGTCCCTTTTAAATTCAGCAGTCCATTTTTTCAGAGTGCTATAGGAAGTCTTCATGGATTTGGGGGACATACCTTTCTTATAAAGGTACCTAATGACGGCTCTGATTTCAACTTTCTCCATTTGGTCTAAATGACACACCCCTCTACTGATCAAAGTGTGTACATAATCTGTGTAAAACCGCGTGTTTCTCGGTTAGATATCAATTTCGAAATATCATGTGTAAATTTCAGTGTAGCGGCTAGAGGTATATCGGGCCGAGGACTTTTTGATCATACGTGGTAGATAAAGTTCGATAAATATGTATGTACTTGCTTAATTGTAAAAAGGAAAAAAATATGACAGGATTTAAAATGTTGCAGGCTAGGTTTGAATTCATGATATAATGATACTGATAATAATGACCTTGGTGATCTTGAGCAAGTTTCGTCAACTGCACCAACGGGAATCAGTTCAGTAATTTAGAACTGATTTGTTTGAAGCTTAAGGTAGACCATGGGTAATGTAAACCCTTCTCTTTGAAGAGTAGTTAAATAGGCTTGAATCACTTGTCAACTGTACTGAAATTGAGGGGAGTGGGTTCAAACCCCCCAGAAGGGACAACCTTATTTTTCTTTCTTTTTTTCTTTTTAACATTATTTATGTATCTCTCAGATCCCTTATGGAAGAAAAACTGTTTGATTTTAATTATTTAAGGTCTTGTTTTGCTAAATAATGCCAAATTTAATTGCAAATATGATACCAGATATTTTCAGAGTTAAATAAAATAACTAAAAACTTCAAGGTATTCAAAGTATTTTATATTTCGCATGATCAACCAATATACTGTTAAAAATATTTATAGGCAAACTTTGAAAACAGCCCCTCATTGTGGTAAATTTAAGGGATATTTTGAATAAGGTTTTTTATATAGTGAAATAGTCAAATAAGTTTTTAAAGTGGTAGGAAGGGTATCATTTTTATGCAAATGAAAATTATTTTGTTTAGAAATAATCATTTTGCTTGTGTAATTTGTTACCTGTGTACTATTATATTTTTCTCAACAATGGGCAATAGGAATACATTTTTCATAATGATGATATTATAGATTATTTAGAGTTTCCTCATTTCTGACAGCAAAGTTTTAGTTCAGAAATATATCCATAACTCATAAACAACGCGGTTAATTTTATTTAAATTTTGGATACAGGTGACCTTGAAGACAAATAACTGTCCTATGTTGTCAATTTTACAGTTCCTTATAATGCCCATTACCCATAGTCTACCTTAATTTTAAAACAGAACTGTGGTATAATGTAAGTTATGATGGCAATTACGTTTCATTTAAATACTTATAAAGTGATGCTCATTGCTATATTTACTCAATATATGTGTTCAATAATATGTATGCCTTGTCCAGGGTTACGTGCGCTTACCAAACAAAGGTTTTTTTTTAATATGTACATTGATCTCTCAATTTAAGTGTTAAGTAGACAAACGATTTTTGAATGTGGTTTTATTGAAATTTGAGTCGCACGGAAAAGGTTTTATGTCGGCAATGTGTTTACATTAAAATATTTTCTTACCTGAGATAAACATGAATGTCAACAAGATACGATTGTATTTGAATTTTTTGGCAAGTGTATTCATTTTCTGTACAGTGATAATAAACATTGTAAGCCCGTATAATAAATTGTTTAATTGATACATAGATCCATAAATACATATATGAATTTATATTTTATTTACTCTAATTATATTTCATTTACATAAGGTAATATGTGTCATATTTTGTTTGCCGTAATGAAAAAATACGAATATAAAAATTGAAATATTGAACTATCTTTGAATTTATTTGATACTGAATATTAACAATGATTTATTTTTTCAATAATTATGTAAGCAAGAAATATACAATTGAATTAATCTAATTATAACCTCATTGTAATGATATCAGTACAAATTATAATTTGTCACAATTTTGTGCACGCAATATCGTATGTTTTATCTGCATTTCTCAATTTAATAGGACCACATTTTGTAAACGTTCTACCTTTTAATAGGCTATTCAACATTGTCACTTACAATTTGCAAACATTTTTTTAAATTTTTAATGATATCTTTCTTTTTAACCGTAACATAACTACTTCTTCCTGGGAGATATTTACAATACGGCCTTTATATATATATATAAAAACTGATTTAATATCTGGTGCAAGGTTCTGTTATCTATAAACCTTCATTCATGGATTGACACAACGGACATACAATGGTTTTTCTGTCTATCCTGCTAGACTCCTTGCCGGTATTCCTGTGTTGGGGATGAATTCATTCCTTGATCTTGTTTTTCATATCATATCCTAAGCTACACAACACAATTTTAAAAAAGTATACAAGTGATAATAAATTAAATGATGTTATTTCCTTCCAGCATGTAAAAGCCAATTTAATTAAATTCAAAAATATAAAATTGTAATGCGCGTAAATGTGCCCCAACTTGAACAATAGGAGCATACTCTGAAACGGTTAGTGATTTAGGTTACTTGATAGGATTATTGTCCATGTCAAGTAGATGATCATCTATTGATTTTGAGATCATTAGGTTAATGGTCAATTTCATAATTGTCTTGACCTCTCAAGCTTGTCCGACCACTTGAATTATAGGCTTTGGCCTGCAGTTCTTTATTTAAGTGTGGGGATTGATCGTGACCCTATTGATTTTAAAATAAATTAGCCAAATATTTCTTATCGATCATTAATTGTTAGCTAATTTCCTTCCCCTTAATACGTCTGTCCAGATTTAAACCTAATAAAACCAAATTGATAACTTAACATAAACATTTTCAGTAATAATATCAGATACAATATACAGAGCATGTTTATAAAATTTATGGTATGACAAACACTGTAGTTTTATAAAACCAGTAGCATAAAATATATGATTTGCAAGTTACATGTACATACAGAAAAAATGATTGGTTTTATTCAAAAGGTTCATTTAACAGTGCTTTATACAATTTCGTTATACAATGTTGACTGTATTTCTATATTAAATTTGAAATCATTACTCCAAATCTTTTTTTATAATGATCAATACGCTTTCTCGTTATCATTCACAGTGTAAACATTGTAACCACGGGTAATCATGCAGGTTATACACTGTCAATATAATTTATATTAGCTTTTTGTACATTCGCCGATCGTCATTCTGTTTTTGCGTGTTACAACAGGAAGGAAATAATGGAGAATTTATGGTGGATTTTTGTTTTTGTTTTCCTTGTTGTTATAATTGCTGCTGTTTTTCGATCTATCGAACAGGTTTTAGCACAAATTCCATCCGATAAACACAATAAAAAGGTTAAGAAAAACACTGTGAAACAATCAAAAGAAACAGATGAAGGTTCAACATTGACAACGCGTGAAAAGTGAGTTTCATATTCAATGTTTATTTTTAATATAACGGAAAACTAATTCTGAACTTATACTTTACATATATAGTTATAATCTAAGTAATACTTAAGTTGATTTTCTTTCCATATTGTTCAACACTAGAGTAATATTTTTGATTTCGTAGATACGTTGAAATCGAAAAAAGGGTAAAGTATGGTTGCGTGCAAGACCCACGTTCTCAAATTTAAGGTCACTTGGAAGTCAAAGGCCATATAATATCTGGCTTATAATTTCAAAATTGCTCAATTAAATCTATTTACAGTAATTGGTTTTATTTGCTTTATGCGACAAATATGACTACATTTCTCTTGATATTTAAAAAAAAATAGTGCTGGTTTTAAATTTCAACGAATAATATTTTCACTCGTGATCGAAAGTTAACTAATGTGTGGTTGTGTAGTGTGGGTAAGACTTATATATTAAGCTGTTCTCCGTTATTGCTAATCCATACGAACCTTAATAAGGAGATATTATTGTTTTGAAATAAAATATGAGATACAAATTACTACAGGCCAAACCGAAAGTAGAATGTGTCTATATAATATAGATATACATATATATATCTGATAATTATTTGCCTTCGTCAGAAGAAGATACATAAATTGGTAAATGTCCTGCATACGACTTGTGTGAACATGATAAAAAACATTGGTTCATTACAGCCCCCAGCTTATGATAACGCAATTGGCAAGGCTCAACACGAGTGTAGCTCCTTGTAAAACTGTAGTATTTTTTTTAAATAAATAAATAACGAAAATGACATAGCTTAAACATTTTAGTGTCTACTATTTCCATTGCTCATCTTCATATCTGTGTTTTCAAATTTTCTGGTCATTTGGGTTCATTGACTGAAATATCATGATGTTGACGAATACATGCTGCTATGACATAAGGAGTCGTAATTTCTCTTACACTTTCTTTTATATCAAATTAAATTAACATAGTTTTCTACATATTTAAAAAGTTTCTACATAATTTATAAAGCTCTTTTGTTTTCAAATTTTTCAGATATTGAGTTTTGTGGTAAAGTAAAGTAAAATTATATTTGATATGTCGAAAATGATCACAATCAAGTCACTGCCAAATTTAAAGCGGCAATCAATAGCGTATATGTAACAAATTTAAGGTTTTTAAATAATATTAATGATTGTAGCACATGTAACCCGTCAAAAATGATGTCTGTCAAGAGTGCTTAAAATGTGGTTTAACGTTGTGTAAAAATAATGTCTATTATTATCAACAATAAAAGGAAACGAAATGCCAAACTGCAATTTTAAATCTTACTTTAGATACCATTTTAATTGTGTATTTAAGCGATAGTTAATGAATGGTAGTCGTTTCGTTTAATTAACTTATATAATTATAATCTAAGTGCTACTCTCGGCGATTTCCTTTATTATTTATGTAATGTTGTAAACTACAACCAACAAAGTGTTAAAAAGTAATGAATACCGATTTGCTTCTATTTAATTTACTTTTTAGTGTACTGCGAATTCACTTATATTCGTGGGCATGCAATTTCGTGGTTTTATCAAAACGGGCATTTTCGTGGGTTCTTCAATTCGTGGATTTTCAATTTCTTGTAAAAAAATAAAATAAATAACGTAATGCAAAGTAATCTTACACTTAATCGCCGCGCATTTCACTAACCACATGTACATATTTTTATTAATCACACACCCGTGCCGATTTTGCGACTCCGTAAATTATATGGTATTGCACGGCCGTGCATATATTTTGACGTGACGTCATTAGCGTTATACAAACATAGCGTAAATACGCGCTAAAAGTAAGCGTTATACTAAAGGCGCGTCATTGAAAACTGACTCTTATTTCACTTTAAACAGTCTTTAATTTAGGTATATGATAAATAGAATATTAAATTCGTGTAATTCATTACTGAATTTATTGAACTCGTTGAATAAAATAATATTATGCTCGCCAAAGGCTCGCATAATATAATTTTATTCAACTCGTATAATAAATTCAGTATTGAACCTTTACTCATTTAATATCCTGTATGTATCACACAGCGCTTATCAATAAATCAAATTTTTATTTTTTTTTTTTTTTTTTTTTTTTTTTTTTTTTTTTTTTTTTTTTTTTTTTTTTTTTATTTTTTTATTTTTTTTTTTTTTTTTTTTTTTTTTTTTTTTTTTTTTTTTTTTTTTTTTTTTTTTTTTTTTTTTTTTTTTTTTTTTTTTTTTTTTTTTTTTTTTTTTTCTGTTTTTTTATTTTTTATTTTTTTTTTTTTGCCTCTGGCCAGTCCGTACACAAAAATCGGCGGAAAAGCGCCGATGCATGTTTGTAATATATAGAATAGAGACATGGCAAGAAGTATTTGTTGAGGTAAAATTTCGTCAGATCTTAAAATCGTGGTTTGATTTTCCCTTGGTTTTGATCTTCCCTCGAAAACCACAAAAATTCCTGCCCCATGAATAATAATGATTTTACAGTATTTGTTGACTCCTTTCTTTGACTTTTTAATCATGTCCAAACCTCCATTCGTTCTAATTGTTTCTTCTTATATATTTTTATTGTCAAGATCGTTAGATGCGAGTTCGGTCAAGAAAAGGAAACAAGTCGGGACGTCTTTCAGGGAAACTTTGCAGTCGGCCTACGAAATGAATGTATCATTATCAAGGTATATCATTTTGTTTATTTAACAACGATTTGTCTCAAATCAAGATTTATCAATGATAGATTTCTTCAATGGTGTTTAAAGAATTTCTTGTTCATATGCACGTTTGTCTGAATATTAATTATCATTTCATGTAATATACATAAAGAAAGTATCCATCTAAATATGAAAATAAATAACTGATATGTGCCTTTTGGTAAATTGTAATCCTTTCTTTTTATAAGTAAGTCGCCAGAATATCAATCATTCAAAGCAATAATGAAACTGCCCTTCTTATAACAACAAGCACAACTCGGAAATTCTAAACAGTGTGTTATTAGATTTGAATTCCAGACATATAAATACAAATAAGACGATGGGTTAAGAAAAAGTATACTAAATGCCCAATGTGAGCCACCCACTTTAAAAAAATTATACTAAGTAAACAACTAAAAATACTTCATGAACTATGACTTAAGGTTTTTATTTTAACATTTATCGGTTAAAGAAAATAGTGAATCGTGGAGCTATATGTCACAAAAGCTGCAGATTTTGACACTTAACTAAGTACCCTCTATATGTAATAATTATATGTTTATCTTATCTTCAGCGAGTGTTTGTCAGAAGATGAAACGACAGAAACCTACAAAGACGAAACGAATGAGGTTCAAGGTCGTATTGAAAATAAATCCCTGTCAGATGAAATGACAGAAACCTACAAAGACGAAACGGATGAAGTTCAAGGTCGTTTTAAAATTAAATCCCTGTCCGGTCTTAAATATGACGTAAGTTAAAACTTCACAATACTATCGATTGCATGAAATTAACCCATCGTTTCATTAACAAGAACAAGATAAAGCGATACTAACAGGTAGATTTATGGAGCTTAAAGACTATAAAATTTGAAAAAAAAACTGCTTATTTCTGCGAACTCTCCAATAACTGGTAAAGAGTAATTTGTAGTTGATTATTTCTTTATTACCTTAAACTATGCCAATTATTAAAACTCGCCTATTGTTAACGAATTTAAAATTCATATATCAAATAAAAATAGGATGGTAATATTTAATGAAATTTTATAAAATCTATAAAATCTTATATTCTGACCAAGGATAAAATTGTAAGACATATACTTATGGTAAAAATAAGATTTGTCTGACGTATTTATCATTATCTGCCTTTGAAATGACCTGAAATATTATCCATTTTAATTGATAAATTATTCGGCATAAAGATTTTGGTTACCCCAATTTCTTCCGCTTAAAAGATTTCTGGTACAATACCCTAAGATTATCCAAAATATTATAAATTACATTTTGAATAATTTCATTCCGCTTATGTATTTAAATAGAAAGTTCAATTACGATTTTAACGCAAGGTTTGCACTTTTTCATAGAAATGCCGTTCATATATTGACAAAGATGGCCTGAAGAAAGAGATGGAAAAAGCGGGAGTCTTGCATGGTCTAAATAAATATATCAAGGATTCTTTAAAAACGTGGGCTGACATGGAATTAAATGTTGCTGTCACAGGCAATTCTGGTGTTGGAAAATCCAGTCTCATCAATGCTCTTAGAAAGTTAAAACCTTCGCACGAAGGGGCAGCTACTGTTGGTGTTTTTGAATCAACTACAAAGGGTATAAAATACATCTATCCTGAAAATCCAAGGGTAGCTCTTTGGGACTTACCTGGCGTGGAAACACAAAGCCTCACAAAAGAGAAATATTTTAATGACATGAATTTTCCTAGATTTGACGTGGTTATAATTGTTACAGAGGGGCGATTCCAAGAAAATGATATATGGTTGGGAAAAGAGTTGCGTACCATACGCAAAAATATTATTTTTGTTCGAACAAAAATTGACATTGACATTGCAAACATAAAGCGGGCGTATCCAGACATATTCAATGAAATTGAATGCCTGGATAAAATTAGGAATAATTTATCAGAAAACATTCGCCTTGGGGGAATACCAGATTTTGGTAGTAATGTGTTTTTGGTCAGCTCTCCCGAAAGAGAATTGTACGATTTTAGTATTTTCGATCAGGAACTTAAAGGTTTATTGAGCATCAATGCAAGCGTCATCACAGCTTTACTACATGAACAAATTAAAAAACAAATAAAGAAAGACCAAGAATCGTGCAAGAATAGATTCAAAGGTTTCATTGGTTTCCTTTACGGTTGGTCTTTGACATTTAACTTTGACTCTCAATTACTTGATGCATACCGGAAAAAGTTTTGCATCGATGAACGTTCCCTTGAGCTGATAGCAAATGAATTGAAAGCCACAAAAAGCGAATTAAAAATGTGTCTGAAATCTTACCAGAAACATCACTTAAACGTTGGGATTATCGACAAAGGCAAATGTTTGAAAATGTGTGCTGAAATGGCAAAAGATGAAAGATGTTTAGCATATCGTCGTCTTAACCTTCTTGCAAAACAACTAAAACCGATTTAGTAATGGATATTGCTTTGATAAATTAAGTGATAGACTTCATTATGGCCAATACACCACAACAGGAAATAATATATCTATACAATGTAATTTGTCTGATGTTTCAAGCTTCACAAATAATAAAAATGACAATTGCGAATTACATGGCTAGAATAACTTCAAATTCAATATTTCAATGGTGACATAATAACACTATCCAAGAGCATTACAAAGCAAACTATAAGTGCAACGACAGGACATGTTATCCAGGTATTTTTATTTCTTCGAGATATAACAACGGTGATGCGATCAAATGTAGCAGAAACGAAGTCTACAATTGACGGTTTAAACTCTGTTGTAAGTCGTTTTTATCATAAAATGAGACACTTTCAGACTATCAGTGGTATTGTTCTAATCTATGAATTAGACCAGATTTAAGACTGAGCTACAATTGAGCAATTTATTCAAAGACAATCCGGAACTTTCAAAAACCGAAAATGTGCCAATCAAGAAGGTCTATCGTGAACGCAGCAGAAATGCAGATATGTGTCCGTTTACATCTTGATTCTAATACTTAAGAAATCGAGAAAATATTGCCAAAAGTAAAGACAAAATTTCAGTAGTTGATCTGAAATTATTATCGTATGAAACATTTAAGTATGTATGTAAAAAGTTATCTTATTTTCGTTAAAAAGAGCTTTGTATAATTTCGTGTAAGAGAGACATAGAACGTTTTTGAAAATGAATTTTTTAGTCTTTTACACAAAGAATTAAATTAAGAACTCTAAAAAGCATTTTGTAATGTTAGATCATAGTAAGCCAATTGTAATGAATACGGGTGCAATAATTTAACTTTTGTTGTTTGGAATGGATAAACATGGAATTCGCGTCATTTTTGTCCTTGTGTAATTGCTCCTCAAAGAATCTCGTAAAATATTTCTTTTATCGAAATACTTTTATTTTTATATTTAATACAATCTTACGGTAACCGAGACATAAAATATTTAATGTAAATTTATCTTCCACTGACTGTTATGAAAATATCCCATTTTAGTTCACCTGAATACAAAGTGCTCAGAAGCGAGATTTTGTGATGTCAGTGTATCCGTCGTTCATCGTCATCAAAAATTTCATTAAACAGCTTCTCCCTAACCGTTTGATGGATTTGGACTCAATTTTACAAGAATGATTTGTAGGCGGCCGTCTGCCAATATTGTACATTGTTTTAGTCTGATGCATAATTAGGTCACATCAGCTAACAAATACACTTTAAAAATGAAATATTTCAAACTCCTCTTTTCAGAAACTACATTGCAGCATTGAACATGACCTTATGATCCTCTACTAAAGGTTAATAAATCATTGCCCTTGGTCGAAATTGGTCGCTTTAGAAAATTTCATTTAAGTTTTCTTTTAAAGAACTACTCTGCAAAGAGCCCCTGGGTTAAAAAAAATGTCCTAAACCTGAGGTAACTTAGTTAATATCTGCGAGTATAGTAAGTTATCTTTAAATATTTTTCTCTGAAAAAACAATTCCAAACGATTAGATATTATGCATTGAGAAATTTGATCCCGCTCCATGGGACATTTGATTTTTTTGATAGATTTATATATTTAATTTACTTAAAGTCTTCTAGACTTTTCTGTTGCTACATTTACTATCCACATGTTTTAATTATTGATTTTTTATCATTTGTCATCTCATAACTATCTTGTAAATTGAATTAATCGTTAAAGGTCAATTATGCCCGGCCCAGAAATGTTTAGTTATTATATGTCTCAAAACCTTGTTGTTTTTGGTGTCCGTTGATGTTTCCAGAAAGTTAATAATTTCCTGAACCCTCTTTTAAAACTTGTTCAATCTGGGAATGCGTACAATTAAAGTGATTAAGTATGTTGTATGAAATTCAAAATACTAGATAATTTACGTTTTGCTATTTATTTATTTTTTTAACAAATAATTTCACAATCAAGACTTCTTTCTCCTTGTGATAAACAACTAACTTGCTCAAAAATAATTTACTAAAAGTAAAACTTAAATTTGCCCGTTCTAAAAACGAAATATCTATCCGTTTCTGAGGAATAATGTGCCTTTAAAGTAAGCAATTACAAATTTCGTAGATTAATTCTTCAATGTGTTCTTAACAAATATCAAACAATTTTCATACGCCCGTTTGAAAAACGGGTCGTATTATAGTTTCCCTTGGCGGGCGGGCGGCACACAATAGAAGATATTTATATTTTACTTCCAACAATTTATATATAATGTGTGAAATACTGATTACAAAAAGAGTATTTAAAAAGTTTTTTGTGATTCCTACTCCATCCGTCAAATTTATTTTTATGCAATTTATTATGTAAATTTATTTTCAATAAGATACTGTTAAGGTTAATTAACAAAACCCTAACGAAATAATATGATATTTAAGAATTATCATTGTTTGACGCGGGACCATTGTATAATTATTTCTTTTAAATGCTCTTTAAAATCAGTTAGTCTTATTTAAATTAATGAACGTATGATGTGGAAGTAAAAACTGACGAGAGGGTTTGATTAATTCTTACAATACCTTAAAAATTTGATAGAGTGGTAGAGGTCAGGGCTCAAAATTATTCTTTAAACTATATTGACTTTTTTAATCAACATCGTGTATAAAATAATCTGTTACTGTATACGTAAGCCCATATACATGACTGAAGAATTTGACAGAACAGACGAATCCGAAGACGAATTCAGAGCCGGCTTCTTTCTACATTTAATAAAAATCGCATTTCTCAGAAATACAATTTATGTTCTAGATGAAAAATTTAATAAATGCATTCATTGAATTAATACATCATCTTATTTGCAACTATAAGTGGGATTTGAGGGAATTCATTTCCTGCCCATTGATCAATATGTAATAACCCTGAGTATAGATATGTAATAACAGACAAAACCAAATATTTTTAATGTAGCACATGTACAAGACAAAGGGACGTTACAACTACGATAATGTTTAATTAATATGTTTATGAATGATCTCCCTTTCACGTGTAAAGTATATATTACATATGTGTTTGCAGTAGACGGACCAATCTTTTACAATTTTGCAATTTTATAATAATTCTGGTAAAGTAGTGCTTAAAATGAAACAATTGTGCTGCAATTTATAGCAGTGAATATCTGAAAATTAAGAATAAGTCAAAATATAATTTTGAATCATGTTGTTGAAGTGTTTATTCTTATACCTGACAAATGTTTGAATTTTTAACAAAAATGACTTCATTGCAAAGACTTTCTTTAATTCAAACATTTGCAACAAACATACTACATATAACTGGAAAATCCAAGAAAACATTGAATCAATTATGCTTACATGTATATGAAAATTGCGTAGTATCTCTACTGTTTCTGTTCATGAGTGATGCTACATTTGTCACGCCGAAAGTCGGTCGGTCGGTCCATTTTTTGGTTTCCGGACTATAGATAAGGTTTGGAATAAGATATTGTTATTAAACTTGGTAAAGTAAGCTAAGATGAAGACTCCGCTTGTTATTGCGGTATTGCTTTTGTCCCCCGGGGTCATGGTCGAAGTCACGCTTACTATAAATGGAGAAAATGGTTTCCGGACAATAACTAGAGTAAGTAATGAAATATTGTTATCAACTTGGTATCAAGGCAATTTATATTAAGGCCCAGTTTGGGTATAGCTTTTGGACTCCCTTGTATCAAACTCAAGGGTGTTGTTACTAAAAATAGAAAGATGGTTTCCGGAGAATAATTAGAGTTAGGAAAGACCTTTTATACAGCAAGCATATATTAAGCCCTCGGTTGGGTTTAACTGTATACGCGCATAATATAGGCAAATATTCTTCAGTGGGCAAAAACTAATTGCCTAGCGTTTTGATTCATAATAATGCTCGACAAGGCAAAGACCAGCACTCTTGAGCTTTCAATCATAAACTTCCATATGGCATGGCATTCATGACTTTCCTATATATCAGAAGACTTACATCAAAAATTTATTTGTTTGCAATTTCAGAAAAGAATAAATGATGTGAATATTACCATACATTAACTTTCAAATCCAGATGTTATTGGATCGAAATGGGAGATGAACATTTTTTGCAATTCGTTTGAATAGTTTTTATGGCATAGCCTCTGTTAATAATTTTCTTCATCAACGATTTTGGTAACCAAACAGTGGGGTTTCTATTTTTTATCAGCAGAAATAAAATTGAATTCGTGAAAACATACTAAAATATCCCCGATTTGAAATGGTGTGCGCATACTAGCAAATGTAGCGGGAAGGGTTTTGGATGTTTTTCAGAAGTACAACCTTCAAATGTAAATATTTTCACGCAAGGTCTAATAAATGTATAAACGATACAAATCAATTGTTTTGGAGAATCTTCACTTCGCCTGAGGTTCCAACTAACGATCTATGCATTGTTTTTCCTCCTGAGCTACGTACGTTGATAGACAGGCTCATAACGACAGTAGACATACAAAATTAATTTATTAAGTCGGGATTTAAAATTAATTGTTTGCAATGGGTACATTAAAACGACACGTGATGAATAATTAAAGTCCATAATTTCATTTGCTTGCAAACCCATTTTTTAAAATTATGATCGACTTGTTTAAAATGAGGGAATTTCCCTCTGATAGGCATCATATCAAAATTAAAATGATCTCTAAAATATATTATAAACAAAAGGTAAAACAAACTTTAAATGCATAAGGAAAATATTGTGATACATTGGTTAGTCATCGTTTGAGATTATAACTTGATAAAATATTACGTACGACCATAACTGCCATGTCATTTTAAGATTATTTTTGTAGATTACAAAACAAAAAGGAAACATAAAACCAAAAAAATAACAACAGAAATCATGAAAAGAAACTTGATAAACACTGATATCTGTAGGTAAACAATAATAAAAAATCGTTTTCTCGACCTTGAAAGCTGCATTCATTGGTATGTAAGATACATGTAAAATACTTTATTGAATAAAAAGAATATTTTCGACACAAAAAGAAGAGCGTTGTAAAATCGGTTCTGCAATTTGATATATAGCCATTTTACTTTGTAGGTTTAGACGCTTATTCATTTTTTGAGTAATGCAACCAATTTTAAACTCAAAACATTATTGAGCCATGCTGTACATGTGTTTGATTAATCGGAAGAACCTACTCAGCAAGTATGTATTTATAACACTTTGGACGTGAAGTTCATTAACTTACCAAATTCTGATAATGAATTCTGACTATATTGTCCTTCGTTTCTTCAAAAGAGTTGTGTTTTGGTGTGTTTCGCAAAAAATGTATACTTGGTTAATTAGATTATAATGAAAGTCAGCATTGATAGAAATAAAAGTAAAAAATAGTGTTGTTTAGATATCAAAAAAATCAAATGAACATAAAAGGAGTAAATTTAGGGCATTATATCATCGTAAGGCAAATGTCTACCAGAGTTTCATTATATTGTAGTGGTGGCGTGGGCGAGTGGGTAACTCGTCGAACTAGTAATCTAAGGATTGCTTGCCGCATGAGTTCAATCCTTGCCAGGGGCTAGCCGTTGTTTCCTTGAGTAAGATATTTTAAACTTATTTCTTAGTACTGGTTGGTTTATTTTTAAATATTTCTTTCAGTACTTTCACATATTGTGATTTTTATTTGTTTGGGTCGTCAGACCAAACAAATAATGGTAGCGAAATTTCAGAGTCTAATGTTCTTAATTGCAAATGCCGAAAGTAG